TGCCCTTTCGCTTTCCGACCCCTCTTTCTCCGTTGAAGCTATTCCCTCCGCTCCCGATGAATGAGTCACTACAGACTGAAGATGTAACTACCAGTTCCTTGCTTCTCCACTGTTCTGGCTAATCCATGAGATCAGGTTTTCCATAGCGGTGAATCCTTCCCTCTTTCTTAAAGAGAAGGAAGCCACCAATAGCTACGAGCTGCCGTAAGCGCTCTTGCACTAGTACTGTATCACTACACTAAGAATAGAGGAACTACGAGCAGAAAGTAAAAAGTAGTCGCTCTTCGCCTTTCAAGATATTTCGTATAAAGAGAGAGATTTCCTATTGCCCTGCCTCCAACAGAATTAATGGCACTAACTGATTCAATAACTGGTCTTCAAGCCTCACTCGATTTCCTTTATATGTTGATGGCCAGTTCATTCCTATTTTCTAAAAGAAGCTAGGATCTTCTAATAATTATTAGAATACGGATACCACTAGCCTTATCCAAGACCGGATAAGCCGCAAAACAGAGGGGTGAAGGTCAGAAAGCCTTGCATCCCTTGCTGGGTTACTATAATAGGCATTCCATCTCGAAAAATAGAAAGCGAAAATACCATCCTCTACTCGATCAGTCCCGATTCGAACCAGACTCGACAAGTCCTGTTTGTAGAAGAGCATCTAATCGAACCATTGACAAAGTAACTAAACGTGCCAATGGAAGAGATCTCTTTTTTCTATCTTTTTCTGATGATATCGTCTTTGTTTATGCGATATTGCTTGGAAGTGATAACTAGAATTCTTGATTGCCCCTTGTTAGTGCTCCACCAGGGCTGGAGCATGCACCCTATCTCTGTCTTTCTTTGTTTTTATATTCTAATATGTTGTCCCAAAGCCTTCAATTTGCCTTTCCCTGTAGGAATTCCTTTTTCATTCGTTCTTCTGTTGAATGTAGTCCTCTTGAGCTGAGCTCTCTTTGAGGGCGGATTACATACAATACAAGATTTCTTTCATTTTTGCTCTAGCAGAAAGTGGGGGGTGCCTGACCTCACCAAAAAAAGGGCTTTCCCCAGATAATCTCCTTAGCCCAGGTCTGTCGAGCCTCAATTAACTGCTACTATAGGGTAGCCGCTTGAACTCATAGCTGTGGTAACTGCGCCCTTCGCTCATTGACTATTCATTACCTGAATACTCAAATGAATAGCCATAGCTGCTAAGAACAACAAATGATCACCTTTCACCCCTGATATGATAGTAGTATGCCGGGCCAAAGCTTCCAGGGTCTCATCCCAAGATGAGAGGTTCTTTTTCGCTTTTATGGTATAAGTATTGATGGGAAAGTTGGATCTTCTTTCTATTGATTTTTATTGATAAATAGAAGTGGCCCACTCTGCGGGAAGTCATCTACGCTCAGCAGCGACAATTCCTGTAAAGACGAGGGCTTATAGAGTCGGAGTTGGTCGTGTCCAGTCATTAGACTGGAAGCTTGAATGTCCTAAAAAAGAAGCTAAGCCAGCCAGTGATCCATAGGCCTTTGTTCGATCGCTTTCGTTCATCAGAAGTAGTGGACAAGGAGTCAGCATCGTGCATGCAATTCCATCGATCTGGTCAATTCATTTCCGCGAGACGCTGCTCCACTCTTTTGCTTTGGCATTTCCATACGAGGAAGATCGCTCAGTTACATGTCAAAAGATATTGAATTTCCGACCAAGCAGTTCAGATTGAAATATGGGAATTTAGACCGAAAGATATCCATGTCAGTTAAAGATGTCTCTTTTTTGAGTGATAGGAACAGAGCGAAGGGCAAGCAGCTGAACCCATTTCCTTAATAGAATAGAATGGGGCTAGTTGGCGGACTTGATGTCATCTAAGTCAACTGGGGAAATCGGCTTCGATCCTCTTTGCGTTGATTCTCTAGTCGGAGAGTAATTTACTGATTATCCTCTTGATTTTTCTTTGTTACACCGGGCTTCCAAGTAATAGTATGAACCGCTTGCTCTGCTCGCAGCTTACACAGGGCTGTCGGAGGACTTGAGCGATGAGATCCTGCGAGACCTCATCTGAATAGGTCTCGCTCCGTCCGTGCCTTTTGATTTTACTTGGGATGGGACTGGCTAACCCATGATCTCAGGTTCGAACTCATTATCATAGTATGGGCTTCGGTTCGGAACTCTGAATCGATCAATCAAATGGGACTACTCCGATCCTCGCATCGGTGAAATAACGTATAATAGAGAGACCTGCAAATCTAATCTATGCTTTCTGGCTCCTCACTTCCGGTCGGTGCGCCTCCCCTCTCTTCTACTTTAAAGAGACTTTACCCGGAGGAGATAGAAAGAGAGGAGAGAGAGAGAAGAAGAGGAACAATCCTAAGTGGAGTTCCGGTTTAACAGGGATTGTATTTTCTTGAAATTATGTATTAAGCAGTTGCTTATTTGGTCCGTACGTATATAAGAGAGAGGCTTTAGGTATGAAAGATGATCTTAACTAGAAATATCATAAGAGAAGAAAAGAGAGTTGCCTAGTTCTGATGAAAGCTATGCTTAAAGGCTACCCGAGAAAAAAGGTTTAGTTGCGTCTCCCTGTCTTCATTGAGATTGGCTTGGTCTTCAGTGTACTAAGGTTAAGGTACAAGTACAAGATCGAAAAGAATGCATTGCATGAACATTGGGATGCCCAAGAAAAAAGGAAGGAGGGGAAGAATCAACACGAAAGAACATCAAATCGTAAGTTTATGAAAATAAAAAAAAAAGCGTGACGTGACGAGAATTTGGAATTCGAGATGTTAGAAGGTGCAAAATCAATGGGTGCCGGAGCTGCTACAATTGCTTCAGCGGGAGCTGCAGTCGGTATTGGAAACGTCTTCAGCTCATTGATCCATTCCGTGGCGCGAAATCCATCATTGGCAAAACAATTATTTGGTTATGCCATTTTGGGCTTTGCTCTAACCGAAGCTATTGCATCGTTTGCTCCAATGATGGCTTTTTTGATCTCATTCGTATTCTGATAAAAGAAAAGCAACTTTTTTTTTTGGTTAACTGGTGAGCCGCTTACGCTTTCAGTGAGGAGACAAGGAGCTTCAAGCTGAAAGTAGTCCCTAGACCAGACAGAGGATCTTGGGGGGTGTCCGGAAAGAGGATTCCATGAAGCGGCTTGTCCGCAGATGTAGGAAGGATGAATTTCTTCCTTTCGAACTGCGACAACAAAAGCTACTCTATTGTAGGAACAAAATGCTTATTGATCAGTCTCGTCCAATAGGATTGATCAGAGCAGTGCCAGTTCGAGTCTGGCGAGTTGCTTTGAAAAAAAAAGAAACTTTGGGATTGCTGAATAACAGACCAAATAATAAAGCACCGAACCATAGAGTACTTGCCACTGGTGCCACGGAGAGATATGTTTTTAGATCTCGCATTTAAAATCCTCCTTCAACATTTGAATTCTTATTCTTTATTGTAATTTGTAATACATAATTACGATGGAATAGCCTGTTTTTTCTAGCTATTACTTTCCTTCATTCAGGTATGGGGGCAGGGAATACGAAGGTCGAGTAGGCTTCGTCGGTTTGAGAAGGTGAACGACGAATCCGAGTGATCGAAGGTTCAAGTACTGAGCGAATATTCAAACGTCTATTCATGTGAGAACTTCTTGCCTTGACACCACCGTAGCCTTAGCCTTAGTCAGTAAGGATGGGAGGGGGCTTACTATTAGATAGGGACTCAGGAAGTTCATGGGAAAAGGTTAGTGGAAGAGATCATCTTTCCGGGGTTGGAGTCACCGAAGTGAACGATAGGCAAGAGAAGACACAGGAGTTGACCTGACAAGCATAAGATTCATTCAATAGCCAAGCAGGAGAGTATGCACCACTCCGAAGTACTAATAACTAAGTTGAAAAGAGAGCGGGGCAGGCCATAGACGAAAGTGAACTATAGACTACTTACCAAAGACCATAGGTAATGGACGAAAGACCAGCAGAAGGGCATTAGTCGCCGAGGATGCTAGTGCGCGTAGATCAAAGCTTAGTGGAGAGACCATACATAGGAAAGTTACAAGGAGAGGTTATCAGCAGGGGTCGATGGCAGCTTCGATTACGGAGAAGTCAATAATCAATGATTATGCGGAGGGTCCAGCTGTCACAAATAACCCAAGCAGAAAGGTCAAGCCTATTTGAATTTTTTATTGGAAAATGAGGAGGAAGACATCTCTCATGGAGAGGCAATCCTCAAATACGTACTTTGACCAGACGGCTTACCTTTATTCTTATTCTGCAACTGAACCTTTCAGTCAAGATACTGCGTAACCTGTGCTACTAGTATTCCTTTCTTCAGGAAGGCTACTAAGAATATTCATTCCTTCTTCTTTCCCGTTAGGACAGTGAAATAATAAATTCAATAATCAGGATTTGATCGAGGTAGTTTACTTACGCAAGCAGTGATAAGCTTTGGTTTGCTCAGCTTTATCCGAGTTGATGCTTGGGTGTCTGTTGCTGCAGCCAGTCGAACGAAGCATGATTCTCTAGTTTTCGGTGGAAAAAAGCCTTCAGAAAGAGGTCTTTTAAAAAAGAAAATGGTAAGCTCTTGCTCGCGCATTTTGGCTCTTCTCGCGGTAGAGCCTGTTATCTCTTCCATGGAAAACATCACAGTCTAGGGACCATGATGATTCACCTATCGTCATTGATAAATGAATTAAAGAGTACATCTGATGCACCAACTGTACTAGGTCCTTCTGCTGACTCGGCATCCACACATCATATGACGTTGAGATGGGACCATCAACCCTCGAAGTTACAGGGATCTGCACTATGGGAGCGTATTGGATATAATAATAACATAGTCTTCAGACGCAACAACTTGTCAAACAGAGTCGTAGAGAAGTTCACGATAATGACTCTTTATCCTTCCAAGTATGGTTCACGAGACCCTACCCAGGACTCCGAGTCCACGCACGTAGGTCTTCATGTCCACACACAGTCGCGGTTGTGCACAGCACATTAAACCCGACCGTTGAGGTAGCTTCCGGGTCACTCCTCACGAAGTGGGCGCTGCCCTGTTGGTCGAGCATCCTGCTGGACTACTTGGGTCAGCGCGCTTCGCTGGACTCACGAAGAGTCCACTTGAACCTTTCCAAGGCTCAACTTGACAAGTTGACGTCTGGTGTTCTCTACCAAGCCATCCTGGCTTTTCGCTCCTCTCCAACCAGTCGAGTTTCACTCAACATAGAAAAGCAACTAGAGCAGAGCGGCCTAAAGCTCTTGAACTAGAGGAGGGGAGGGGTCTAGCATACTGAAACATAAATATAGCTATAAAGCCGCATCTTCCTTACGGTCTCCTAAATCAGAACTTTTTCACTTTGTTTTAGCTTCGCTAGCTTTCCTTTTCAACTCGGAAGCACTTACCCTTTCCAATAGCGTAAGCTGATCCAGCTGATGCGAGAGTTACAGCTCAAGCACCTATTTCTTTTGTACCTTCATTCAATTCAATTCGCCAATTCATTAAAAAAAGATTAGCGCTTGCTAATTATTTAAAATGGTTTCATACTCAATCAATTAGGGATAGACTCTATCTCTTCTATACGACAGACTAGTTCCCTATGTTAACTAGCGGAGCTCTTAAAAAAGGGAAGTCTAACACAAACAGTCTTGAAGCTTATATATTAAATGAGTCCATCCCGAAGCCCCAACCTTACGCATCACTTTGATTGCTTCCGCCTCCCTATTTGTTTATTTATAGAAGAGCTCCTTGTGGCGAGAAAGGGAAGAGGGAGATCAAACTAGAAAAATAAATAAAGTCAAGGAGAAGACACCTCTAGTACTTCACTTCCAAACATGACAGCCATTGAACACATTTTGATTTTATAAATTATATGCATAGAGACGAACTCCTAAACTATTGGAATAAACGAATTCAATTCCTTCCTTTACTCCGGGGAAAGGAGATAGACCGATCATTATGACCGGGCCGACAGGCCCTACGTAGTACATGCCCTTAGAAGGGAATACATTTATTATAAAGAACGAAAGAAATTGCGTACTTCACCCCTACCTATTATGCGAGCTAGTCCTCTACTGAATTTATATATATCCTTTTCCACGCGGGAAAGAAAAGGCTTTGTACGAGGGGCCTCTCTTTCTCTTGCGCTGAAGCAGCCACATCTCGTTTGGCTGTCCTACTCTCGTCCCCGCCGAGACCAGAATGGGTCGGAAAGAAACCGGCCTTTGAAGATCACCCACTTCATCAATGCGTGCGATGTTGGAATACCAAATCCCACTGGGATTTCCATATGAACTTTTTTCTCCACAAGATCATCCAGGTTTAATGTCTCTTCATTAATAGCTACCAGGGAAAAAAAGCTTGACACCACTTCGCTTCAGGAAGTGGAATCCCAACAGTGAACAGGCAGACCGCTGATACCAATCCATTGTCTGAGAGTCTCCAGGGGAAAGGTGGGGCAATCCGGCCACCACTCCAGAAGCTGAACTGTAGTACGGCCCACATGCATGAACTCCTGAGACAAAGCTCAAGCTAGTAGTCATAGTCGGAGTCGTAACTCAACTCCCAGCCCGAGGGGTAGCTCATTGCCCGAGTAGAGAATGTTATGCCTATCCGCTGCAAGAAGAGGTTGCATATAGAATGCGACATCTTGTTAGCTACAGTCAGCTAGTTAGCTACTTAGCTGCGGATTCTTCATTTTGACTTTCTTCGCTTGCATCAGAAACATCACCAGCTCCTTAATTTATTTCAATATGCTCAGTAGCTGGTATGTTTAAATTATCCAAACTCGATTGAATGGCATTGAGGCTATTCTGTAAATCCTTCAGGTACTTTGGCTGATTACCAAGGTTAGTACAGATATGGATAAGAGTTTGGTTAGTCCAGTTCAGCTGCTTGTGCAATACCGAAGGTGAAAGATCTTCAGGTGAGTGAACCTTGGGTAAGGTGCACGAACGGCTTACTCTTTACAGTGGGAGGGAAGGAACGCACTCCAAGCAGGCTCCCGGAAGCTCAAAAAGATTCCCCATTTGCTGCTTTAGCGATCACCCCCGGAGCTGAATCAGAGCGATAGGGAAGCACTACAGGTATTGGATTCACCGCAAAGAGAGCAGCTCCTTCTCTTGCATTTGAACCCTCGGACCCGGATAAGCAAGGGGATTCTAGTTCTGATTCAATTGCAAAGAGCGCTAGGCACCGAAAGCTTCAGTCAACACAGTCCTATCTACTTCCGTCGGATTGTAAAAGACATGCCTACATTAGTAACTAGCAACCTTCACTATGCGAAATGGAAGGGCTAGCAAGACACTAAAGCAATAAAGCAGGAAAGCAAGAAAAATAAAGCCTAAACCTTGCAGTTTCGTCGTCTTATTTTATGGCTAACCCGGATTCAATAGCAGCTCCTGCTGAACTAGTGGCATGATAGGGGAAGGAAGGCAAGGAGCCTAGCACATTTATGCACACTTGCCAGCCCTCCTTTATAGTCGAGCTTTCAGTATTGAAATGATCTTTCTCATAAGTGAGAACTTCCGGCATTCCTCAATGGGCCTCCGATGTCAGTTATTAACTCTTTTCTCTTTCAGCTAGCTTTTGGAGACTGGTGCTTTCGGCTTCTTCTTCTTTGACTGTTGATGGAGTCATTACCGCAGCTTGAGTACTCGTAGCCGCTATTACAGAATCGGCTGTACATGAACTCTATCAATTTGATATACATCGATGATATGAAACGAATCCCACATCTGACTCAATAGGAACTGAACCTTGGTCTCCGCACCCCACCTTACTTACTTATAGGGCTAGGGGCGTATTTAACAGGATCTTTCGAGAGATGGGAAGAAATAGCTGCAGCTTGGCTCTTTCCCTTATGGTAGAAGTGAAGTTCAGGAAAGCTAATAATCAGTAGTTGCAGAAGAAGCAAAAGAAGAAGAAGCGGAATCGCTCGTTTTATTAACCGGACGATACTCATGAGTTGAGTTCCTTAATGACCCATAAGGGTAGGGGTAGGAATAAGAGTCATTGCTTTCGAGATGAGGCAGCCAACTGTAACTTTAATAGAAAATGTATTTATTTATTGATAAGGCGAAAGGAGAATTACAGAATAACCTGCTAATCTATAAGAAGAGTGAGACCAACTAGCTACTAGTATTTTTTACCAGTTCGGGAGTTCGGGCGAGTCTTAAACCCTAATCCTCTTCTATTCCTTCCGGATTTTCTTTCTTTCATAGGCTTGAGCGGAGCGCCTTAGCGCGGGAGTTCTCTTGCTGGGGCTCGTAAGGATAGCAGCGATAGCAAAACGGGAGGAAAGGAAACAAGCACCGGACTGGACTGAGACGGGCTCTAAGATCTGCGCTGCGGAGGACTCTGGCAAGGGTGGGTGCTTTTATTTAGGTAGGGGCTCGAAGGTGGGCGCGGAAGGAGTACACTTTATTAGGGAGAAGGAGTACAAATTGGAATCTGTGAAGTAAGAAATGCATTGCATATAAGCTTTTTGAGTACTCTTTAGAGAATCTCCCAGCGCTGCCCGCTGCGCTGTTCGATCTCCGTATATAGAGCTAAAAACCGATATGCTGAAGACCGATATATAGTAAAACAGACTAATTAGCAAGGACAAGCGCAAATCTCTCTTTGACGAGCACTAGGTAAAATAAATAAAGAAGAGAAATATCTTAATATAAGAGAAGCAACGAGCGCCTTAAGAGAAAGACGTTGCGCTAAGGTCAACAAGACAGTTTGCTTGCTTCTGATCTATAATAATATATATATATATAATAAAGAGATTCTTCCAAGATTCTATTTATTTGGGGTCCGGGATGGAAGATTTGGTTGGGTTCGACTCCCCTCACCTCGGTGTGGCGAAAAAAAAAACAATTCGTTAGACGGAACAATGAACTTTTTTCTTTTTCATTTCGATCTCTAACTGTTCGTCTTTATTTCTATTTTTCTGAAGTAGGTATAAGACCTAGCTAGGGATTTGATTTTGTGTCGGCTGCCCCTGCTTCGGCTACTTCCATTAAAAATCAGGGTTTTTCTTTTTGTGATGTTCGAGCTACTCCTTCTTTTTATTATTTTTCGTTCTCTCTTCCTGCTATTAATGGATGAACTGAGCAGAGCAGTAGCTCAGTTCTACCCGACGTTGGAGGGGAGTGCTGGCGTGGGAGGAATGAATGGTGGCTTCAATCCACCGCCTGTGCCGGACCCTTTTTCGGGTTTCGCTGCAGCTTCGCACGAAGCGGATCCCTCTGTCTCCGATCCTAAGTCTCAATTGTTTGATAACGAGAGTAGCCGGAGGCAACTAAAGAAGGATATGAGACAAAGCCCGCTAGAGGAAAGAAGAAGGGGCAGGCATAACCCTAAGACTCCTCTTTCTTCTCCAGTGAAGTGACCTTATTTTGGGTATTCTTTCGTCCAAGGAAAGATGAAGGAAGCAGGCAAAACACGTGCATCCAAACACTCGCAAATGCTTAGCTTATAGGAGGATGGACCCAGTAAGAAGTTCGTGAGGTGCCGCTGCAGCTTATTCCCTCTCTCTCCCCCCCCAAAAAAAAAGGAGAGAGATGTCCCGTCCCTTCTTTATGCACATCCATATACATAGCCAGACACAAAGGTGTACAATCCGGTCATGCGGTTCTTTAAGTTCATTCACTGTAGGTTCTGTTCTCTTACTTGCTCTAGTGGCTGGCAAACGCCAACCGAGAGGGGAGAACGAATGGCTCAGGAATCGACTGGTTCCGAGCGGACTCGTGGAGCTGCTGCTTGGATTATCGTAGAATAAGAGGAGCCGTCTTAGGAGATGACTTAACTTAAAAGACAGATGCCACCGCTGCGAGGCGAGGGAGTAACTTGTCTGGTCTTGCGGTGCACTCACTCCCGTTACGAGAATGAAATGACGCCCCAGCTCGACTCGAGACCAAGACTCCTTACAACTCGCACCAATAGCGGCCTTATTAGGTCAGGGGCGGCCGGAGATTGATTGAAAAGGCAGCCCAGCCGCTGCCCCTCCCCTCTAGCCGCCTACCTACTCGTGCTCGTAGCTCGATCGGAGGTTAA